GAAGATGAATGAAGTCAAGAGCCCGGAGAAACAGCCTGGAGTGGGCTGAGGGCACTCTGGGGTCAGGGTGCTCAGACCTGAGTCCCTTCCCTCATCAAAGAGGGGAGGACAGATGCTCCTAGGACACCTGCTGAGAGCCCAGGGTCACCCCCCCCCCCCCCCCCGCCATGCCTCCACCGCAGCAGAGATCAGCCCCTGCATGAATACATCTGATACACACTGGCTCTGGACACCTAAGTCTCTGTTCACACTGCCAGACACTTGATTTGGGGAGGTGGGGTCCTCAGTCACTTGGCGCCCCCTTGGCCAGCAACTGCCCCCCAAGGCAGCTTAGCAGGTCCCCTTCTATGGGGGGGGCTCATCTGAGGACCCAAGAGAGCCCCACCCCACCCCCCTCTCCCGTCCAGGGATGAACAGGTTTGTCCCCGAGCAAGATCTGTGCATGGCGCCTTCCTCGGGCATGCCGTTGCCCTGCTTTGCCTCCTGGATGCTGTCTCTGAGCCCAGCACGGACCCTCTCTGCTCTCTGCATGCCAGGTCCGGCATGAGCTCATGTTGGATGCGAATGGCAGCTGCTCTGCGTGTGTGTGAGAGTGTGTGTGTTGTGTGAGTGTGTGTTGTGTAAGTGTGTGTGTGTGTGTGTGTGTGTGTGTGTGTGCTTTACAGCAAAGTACTCTGGGAGCCCTTCCCTGCCAGAGCCCCAGGTACCATTTGTACTCCTTCCCCATCAACAAAAATAACAAAGCAAAGTTATTTTGCTGGGCTTCATACTCAGGATAACAGACAAGAAGACTCTAGGCTAACAGCTCATTTGCAAGTACTTATTGTTCACCCGGGAGCGAGCCCTGTCCCTGCTGCTCCCCTGCCCCAGTAGGGCTCCTGCGGGAAAGACCCTGTGTTGCGGGAGCCTCATTTGCAGCCAGCGAAGCATCTGAGGCCACGGGCCAGAGCCCATTCCTCTACAGCAAAATAAGCCAGTGGATATGGGGAGCTCGGGATTTAATCTCCCACGAGAAGCGTCTCGGAGCCAGGAAGTGGCCCGCACACCCGCCCAGCGCAGGGCTGGGCTGACTCACCAAGAGAGCAGCGGGGGGTGTGGGATCCCAGCCGCAGTGGGGTCTGGGGCCAGGCAGGGACTGGACAGACCTGCCCCCCTTCTGAGGGTGAAGCCCCTTTATTGGAGACGGGCACGTCCTTGAGAGGAGCATCTCGCAGGCTTAGTGAGGTGCCTCCACGGCTCTCCGAGCAGCCGAGTGTCTCCCAGCACGGGTTCCAGGGGCTCATCTTGCTGGAGACGCAGAGAGGCTGACGGAGCCCTTCGACTCCGTGAGGGGTCTGGAACTCCGCGTCCCTGTCCCTTTGTGTTCAGAGTTTTAAGACGTTCCTGATGACGCTTTCCATGTGGAAATGTCTCCTTTTAGAGAGCGTGTTTGCTGGTAATTAAAAGCCCAATTTACCAATGCAATTTCTTTTTAGAAATATTATTTAAACGATGAGGACCAGAGTCATAGAATTATTTTTGGCTTCATGTGCTGTTCGAGACTATCCTTATTACTAAAAACACAGACATGACTCTCCTGCATTTCAGAAAAGGGAGAAAGCACCCACGGCAGAGCTGAGGTGTTGGACTGACCTGACCTTGTGCACAGACAGCAACATGCGAACATGTAACAGAAGAACGGCGGCACACAAACGGGCAACTATATACAATGCAATAAAAAATAGATGCTTATTGGTTTTCAAATTCAGCATCAGAAGCTGTAGGGCATAAGTCATGTTTTCTGCCTTAAAGAAGCAACGTCCGTAGTCCGAGTCTCCTTCCTTTTCCTTATCCGACGCCCTCCCGGGAGGCCCCACAGCCCCAAGCAGCCGTGTTTAGCTATGGATACATGAATCTCATATTTTTATTCTAAATCCAAGTCCACTCATCATATCTAATGCCCTCGAAGCAATCTCAAATTACTGCTATTACACGGGTCACTAGGAACCAGAGCTTGGCCACAGACTTGAGAAGAGAAAGGGGAAAAGCCTCACAGAGATGCGAGAGCGAGCGGTTTAATCAATTTAATTTTGTCACTAATCCAGCCCTTTCCCGCGATCTGTCAGCCTGTGTGAGAGCGGCGAGAGGGTCGGCCGCCGGAGCTGTTCCCCTCACACTGGCTCTTTCCTACATCTTCATGGTGCTGGAACGCCTTTTCTCGTCCGTCTGCTTCCCCTCCTCAGTGCCCCTCACCAACTTTTTCATTTGCGTTTTAGAGTGCTGGTCCTCCAGCCCCTTCCCGGCTCACAGGCACGGGCAGCCCTGAGCGATCACTGCCAACATTCTCTGAGACCTGGCAAACCCCCGCCTGCTTCTGCGCCCAGGGTCCTGGGAAGCCTGTCCCAGCAGAGCTCGTGGACGAGGCCCTGTGGGTCTGAGGGAGCCAGGGAGACCCCCTCTAAGCAGGTGGCTCGGAGCCTCCCTGTGGCCCATAACTTAGACGGCGGTACAAATATTTGCTACAAAAATATATTTCATGCTCCCCAAAGCTGCGTTCAGGAAAACGACCACCACAAAAGAGAGCCAGCTGGGCAGGCGGGTCAGAGGTCGGAGCCCAGAGGCTTCCCCAGTCTGTGGGGCCCCTCTCACCTTACCAGCCGGCGGTGCCAGGGAAGCACCTTGTGGCTCTCTTTCATTTCTCTCCGTCATAGACCCCGCGCTCGGCAGCTCACAGCACCCACCCAGCGCTGCCACTGCGCCCCGATTCTCTGAGTCTCTGAGTGAATGAGTGTCAGAACCAGGCCGGGTGGGTTTCTTGCTGTTGTCAGTAATGTCCCTGAACCGTGTGGAGCAAATCAGGCAGCTCCTGGCGCCGTTTCCCCGCACCGAGGCCCCTTCTGCTGTGCACAGAGCAGAGAGGTGGTCCCTGCTGCTATTCCTGGGGGCTGTGCCTGAGGCGAGCTGGGGCAGGGGTGAGCGAGAGTCCTCCTCAAAGACCCCGAAAGACATAGACAGGTCCAGTCATTGCACAGGCAGGCCCAGGGTCCCTCCCCAGAGCCCCGGTTAGGTGCTCTGTGTGGCCGAGAGGAGAAGCCTTGGGTCCCTGTGGTGGGTGTTGGGTGGCCCAGGCTCCCCAACTCCCCAGCAGTGCCAGAGCCAGCTGGGTCCTCATCCCCGAGACAGGTGGGGGAGAAGGTCCTGTGATGGCTAAGAATTGGGGTGCGGCCAGCACCTTGGGTACAGGCCAAGTCCCCAAACCACTGTAGGTGCTGCGTGGACACCCACTGAGGTGAACATGCGTCTCACAGTCAGAGGAACACAAAGGTGGAGGCTGCTGCTATCAGAGGCTGGGCCACAGCGCTGGGTCTGGGGCTTGTGGCCCTGGGTCCCCGTTCCCATTGACCATTCTGCTCAGTTCAGAGGAAAGCAAGCATGAGAAACGGCCCAGGATCGCACCAAGAGGGTCTCGAGGCTCTCCTGGCCCCCTCCCCTAAGATGGGCGAGGGTCTCTGCCAGCCTCGGAATGGCCCGTCCGTCCACAGACGCCCCGAGGACTCTGCTTGCCACCGGACTAAGGACAGAGGCACGTTCAAGAAAGCCAGGCCACGGCTGCTCGGCCGACTGTGCTCACGGCAGCTGTAGCCGAGCTGAGACTGTGCTCACGGCGGCTGTAGCCGAGCTGACATCAGAGGAGGGCTTCCGGACCCCCGTTCCTTCCCGCTGCCCGCCGGCTAAGCCTGCTTGCTTGGCATGTGGGAGTGAGAAAAATGAATTTGGAGCATATCTCCGATGCTTTCTCTGGAGTTAGCGTGAACTATTATTCCAGACCTTGACTTTGAGTATCTATAAATACATGTGTCTAAGAATATTGAGACGCACCAACACCTGATTCCTATGAGACCTCATTTCCTCTTTTCTCTTTTTAGAAGTTTGATTCACGAAACGAGTCTGTGACTCTCCAGGCCAGTGCCACTTTGGTTACTATTATTTCTGGAAGAAGACACACACAGATCCGCTTCAGAAGAAAACGTTCAGAGAGCAGCGTGAACAGCTGCGTGCGTTTAACAGCTAAGACTCACGGAGAGCGAGAGATCAGCCTGTGACACCCGGTCACACACACACAGACACACACACAGACACACACACACAGACACACAGACACACACACACACACACACACACACACACACACACACACACCTCCAGGAAGTTGTCAGCACACAGGGGTCCAGACAGCGGCCACGGGAGCAGGCCTGGGTGCCCAGACTAGAGGCTGGTGGGGTGACACGGGTAAGGGCTGCCCCGCAGATGAACCCGGCCCTGGGTGTGTGGGAGAGGGTGGCCGCCCCAGGGCCGTCTGGCCCAGCCTCGGGTGAAGTGAGAGTCAGACCCTGGGCTTGTCTCCAGCTGCTTTCCAGGAGAGAACTACTCTCCTCAGGGCCAGAACCGCTCAGACCCGCACGCTGCAAACAGCAGCAGTGAGCCGTGAACTTTCCATACTGGTTCCTCCGGGAGCCCGTGCCAGGCACTTGCAGGGCTTTGGCGGCGGGCATGGTCCCCCTGACCCTGGGACGGGCAGGGTCAGCGGCAACCTGTCTGGCTCCGCTGCCGTCTCCCTCCCCACGGCTTCCTCTCCTCTGAATCAGGACTTGGTGGGACCAGCCCGAGACTCTGTGGGTTGTTTACAGAATCACCCCTGGAGCAGCTGTGGGCCAATTTGGGGAGGCGAAGGCAGGGCTTGGCGGGCTCCTCTTCCCCAGCAATTTGGAAGGAAAGGTGGGCTCGGTGTCCCAGCTCTGCCTTGGGCGCACGGCCTTTGGGCGGGGAGTGGACGAGGGGAGGGCGCCACAGACCCTGCCCGGCTTCGGCATGCTTCGGGGGCAGGGGCCAGAGGCGCGGGCGGACCCGTCCGACCGCGGCCCCTCTCGGGAGTCCCGGCCCTTTCCAAGGGGCTCAAACTCGGAGCGAGTGGGAGCAGCGCCCGCCCAGCCCAGCCTGCGGCGCGACCGGCGCCGTCCTACCTTTCCTCTTGGACCGCCGCCGCCGCCGCCTCTTGCACTTGCACCGGAGTTGCCCGCTGAGCCCTCCAGCTCCTCGGCTGCTGCCCAGCACGGAGGCCATGCCGCGCAGGGGTCTGCGGGAGCGTCCGTCCGCGGGCAGGCTCACCTTCGGCCGCCGGCTCGCGCTTCTGCGAGCGAGCGCGGGAGGCTCACTTTCAGAGGCTGGTCGCCGGCTCCCTCCCGCTGGGCGCCCGGCCGCGCCGCTGGCCGCAGGTGTGCCTGGCCCGGAGGGCCTCCTCCTCCAGGCCGCCCGCTAGCTCTGGCTCGGCAGTCGCTCTGGCTTCCACTTTGCGCCTCGGCTAGTTGTTTGGCACCAGCCACTTTGAAGCCAATCACGCAGGGAGCTTGTCTATTTGCTGCTGCAAAGTCTAATTAGATCCAATCGCAGCTGCCTGCTGGCTCTGACATCAGCGCCACCAGCCCTTTCCAGCCCGTCAGTCTGCAAACTCAGCTCCTGTTTGGGGCTGCCAGGACGGGAGGAGGCTGCCGGGAGGGCGGCAGAGGCAGCGTCCTGGGCGAGGGTCCCGCTGCACAGCGGCGCCTCAGCCGCTAGAGAGAGACGCGGCCTCTTCCTCCGAGCGTTTTCGCCCGTGAATCCACTGAGCTACTCCCCCAGAAGTACAAGGAGGCTTTTCTCCCCTGCCGGGCTGTGTGTCTCACAGGGCTGGTTTGTCTGTTGCTCTGTGTTTGTTTTGTTTTGCCCCCACCCCCAACCCCATCCCATGGCCATGAAAATCGGGCATTGTGGCAGAGGTGGGCGCTCACAGCAAAGCCGGATTTTAGCGAGAGGGATCTCAGAGGGCTGCCGTCTTCAGGGAGTCATTAAATGAAAGGGTGGGGGAGCAAGAGGGCTTGCACCTGAGTTTTGCGGCCACATGGAATATCCAGACGAAAGAAAGTGTGCTTCTAAGGAGGTGGACCTCAGCCTGGGAGAGTTCCGAGCAGTGTCCCGGGGCCTGCCCAAGAGCCGGCGGTTGCAGCATGGAATAGAAGGAGTGCGCTCAGTCTCCGTCTAAATCTTTCGTGGCTCCTTCCAACTGCGTCCTGCACCCCTGCGGTGGCCTCCACGAGCTGCTGGGGTGACGGGGGACGTGCAGGCGGTGCCCTGGTCTTGGCCGGCTTGCATGCACCTCCCCAGCTGCTCGTGAGCGCAGGTACTTGCAGATCAGTTTCTTTTCCTAAGCAAAGAGGATCCCTGTTAGAGCACGGGGGACAGCGAGGCTGTCTGGATTCTAGGGGGTGAGCCTCAGCTGCGTTTCTGTTGGTGAGTGAGAGAGTGTGATGCCTTCGGACCTCCAGCCTGACCCCACAGAGAGGCAGGAGAACATAGCCTGAGGCCAGGGAGAGGCGGGTGTGGCCAGCTCGGTCCAGGACAACGAGTGCCGGAGGGGCCGAGAAGCAGGTGTGGGGCTCCCGAGAGGTCCTCCCCTGCTCTGGGGCCTGACCACAGAGGAGAGGTGGGGGAAGGCGCACTGTGGCAAGGTGCCCTTCAGCTGGTGCTTTGGCAGCCAAGGGGCTCAGCCCAGTGCCCTGCGCCGCCCCACTCATGCAGGGCAGCCTCTGACCCAGGGGGACGGCGCCCTCAGTATAAGCCTGGCTCAGCCATGGACCAGCGCCTGACCCCACATTCCTGAGACCTCTGATTTGGGGGCACTGGAACGGTGCTACTCTGGCGTGCGTTACTTGCTCGATTGAGCACGGACACGGACACAGGGGCTGCCAGGGTGGTGTGGTCTGGGAGGAGGGAGGGTGGGAGGTGCGCAGAGCCGCCTAAACTCCTGGATGGCTTGAAGTGAGCGGAGCCGCACTGACAATCTGCCACTCTCCCGAGGAGCCGCGCTGCCTTTTGTCTGTCTCCTGGATCGCTGCTTGAGCTGGAGGGCAGCAGGAGCCAGGAATGGGAAGTCCGAGTCCACACCTCTGCGCTCTTGGAACCAAGGCGGAGGCTGGGGCCGCTGGACACAGGGTAGGTGGACTGGGCCTCACAGCCCCCCGTGTGTGACAGAGCAGAGGGGAGGTGGGACGAGGCCCACAGCCCTCCGTGTGTGAGAGAGCAGGGAGGAGGCAGGACAAGGCGTACTGTCCCATCTCCCCCAGCCCCCACAGCCCCCACGTGAGGCTCCGTCAGGCTCTGCGTTAGGCCACATCCCCAGCCGTTTGCGGTCTGCTCACTCCTGTGTCGGGCAGGCCCACAGCACGCACACAGCCACTGCATTGGACTCTGCCCTCGTGGCCCAGAATCTGGGTGCTTCGAGGGAGCAAGAGTGAGACGTGGAGCTTTGGCTGTCTCAGCCCTGGGAGGCTCAGCGCCATGACCACGGCCCCACTCAGAACCAGGAGAGCGCCGGGGGCCACTGCTTCCTCCACAGAGCCGGGCACAAGTGGACCCGACACGTGTGTGAGACACAGACACACAAGTCCAACCACACATGTGTGTAACATGCAGATACACAAGTCCAACTCCAGCGGACATGGCGCTGTCCGCCTGTCCACTGTCTACCTGATTTCAGGCTCCCTGGCTCATCGACAGCCACCCTTGCTGGGTGTCGGCCAGGGACTGACCTCACTGCTCTCATCTTCTCTCCTCAGGCCAGCCTGGGGCAGGGTCTGCGAGTGCCGGGACACGCCAGAGCAGCCGCTCTCCTGTCCGTGTCCGTGGATGTCCCCCCCGCCCCCACCCCCGCCACCCCACTCTGCCAGGAAGCTCGGCTGGGCCGGCATGGAGGGCTGCATCTCTTGTCTGAGGCCACAGTGCCCAGATTTAAATGACTCACATCAAAGAGCACAGGCGCGCGGCCCGAGAGAGCAGGGAAATGTGGGCAGACATGGGCTCTGGGAGGCATCTCCGCTGTGGGCCAGTGGAGCAGAGGAGAGTCCGGACCGTGAAGACGCTCGTCCTCTGCTAGGGGAATGGTCCCTCCCTTTGTTCTCCTCCTCGCATGCCTATGGCAGAGAGACGCCGAGTGCCTCCCTCTCGTCTCGGGGTAAGCGGATGATCTGAACAGAGGTACAGTGGCGCCTACCCCCGTGCCAGCAGCTCTTGCAAACACACAGTCCCGGGGGGGCTCCATGCAGTGTCCAGCTGTGGGCAGGGACAGTGCTGACAAGCCGTGCCCCAGGTCAGCACAGTCACTTAAGACACATGCACATGTGTGCATGTGTGGGCTCCTGTGTACACACACACATGCATACATGTATACATATATGGATGTATACCGAGCTCCAGACCACACATCTATGACTCCCTATGCATGCATACACGCACATGAACACAAACGTAGGTGCATGCCCTATGTGCGTAAGGATACATAAGACCCATAGACACATGTCTGCCTATGAGCCCCTGTGTACGCACACACACGGGCATGTATGTGTGTATCCATAAGTTCCATAGACACACATGCCCATCCATGAGTTGCTGTATGTGTGTGCACATAAGCATGTGAGTGTAGGTGGATTCAGGAGCTCCTGAACACACAGTTTTATTTTTTGATTTTTATAAAAGAATGTTTTTTTGGGGGGGGTGGTTGGGGGCCATACCCAGTGGTGCTCAGAGCTTACTTATTTTTCCCATTAATTTTAATTTTATTTTTATTCAAGTAATATCTTCTAGGCCAGATGATTATAATAATTCAGTGAATGTTTAGGTTTTTGATGTGTGGTTACCACCCCTCAACACCAGCAAAGTGCACAAGACCTTCCACCAATGTCCTAATGTTATTTCGTCATCATTCTACCTTTAAAGCACAAAAGCATCAGTTTAAAACGATGTATGCATACCTGTATTCACTGCAGCAATTAGTATAATTGTCAGAATATGAGAATAATCCAATGTTTAATGATAGGTGAATGGATAAAGAAGTTGAAGTTCTGCACTTCTAATATACGATGCCGGTAGCCCTGACTTTAAACAACAAGACTTGAAGCAGTTTTGATTTTCTACCTCAGAGCTTACTTATGATTTTGTGCCCAGGGGTCACTCCTGGTGGGGCCCCAGGGCACCCTGTGTGGTGCTAGAGATCGAACCTGGGTCAGGTATCGCAAGGTGAGTGCTTTTCTGCCATGGACCACTCTGGCCGCTCCTAGGCACACAGATTTAGCACGTGGTTCCCTTCATCGGCTGGTGCCACAGGCTGCAGTGTGCCAAGCTGCATCGGCAAGCTCTGCATCCAGGTCCAGAGGGTTCTAGTTTGGGAAACACAAGCTAGTGAAAGTGACATGAACTCATCATGGCCACACAAAATTTGGAATGCCCCTACCCGGCAGGCAAAAGGGCCCTTTTCACCAGCAGCCCCTGTGGCCAATAAGACATACCAGAGGGTCAGCTGCCTGTATGGCCCTCAGGGGCCAGGGGCCCGCTCACTTTAGAGGGTTCTCTGGCTACAAGTCAGAGAACAAAAAAGGCACCATCTTCCGGAGGAGAAAGGGGGAGAGGAAGGAGAGAGAAGAGTGGAGTGAAGGGAGCACTCAGGAGAGAGGGGTGATGGGAGCACTCGGGAGGAAGGAGTAAGGCAATGGGAAGCACTTGAGAGGGAGACATGGGATGACGGAGAACATTTTAGAGAGGAGTGGGATGATGGGGAACACTCAAGAGAGAGGAGCGGGGTATGGGGGCACTCTTGAGAGAAGAGTTTGACAGAGCACTGAGAGGGGAGTCAGTGATGGGGAGCACTCAGGAAGAAGGAGAGGTGAGTGGTGGCAGGAACACTCGGGGAGGAGTGGGGGTTAGAGACTAGAGTTGCGAGAGCAAGGGCAGTGGTGGGATGGGGCCAGCACCCTCAGAGGGCCGGAGATCACAGACCTGCTGAGTGGGTGTGTGACTGTCCCTGCAGTTGGTGGTGGCTGGACCATGAGGGCTTCCAATGTCCGCACCAGGATAACAGGCTGTATGTGGTTCTGCCCCTGCAGTGGGCGGCCTCCAGGTTGCCTGGCCAGGCTCTGCGCAGCGGGAAGCAGCAGGGCCTGAGAGGCTCCTGGGAGCATCCTGGCCACCCCTGATGAGGACCCAAGCTGACCAAAGTCCAACTGGACTCCTGGCTTCTGTAGAGTGGCCTCTGGCCACAGGGGGAGATGGACTCTGAGGAAGACCTGTGCACCATGCCTGA